TTCCCTACCCCCTCTCTTCCAATCTGGACGGCCTTTCTGGACTTATAGCTGTTCCCTGCTCAATGCCATGCTCTTTCCTTTATGCCTGTGCCCTAGAAACATTCTGTTTTCTCTGTTCAAAAGGTTCTGCCAAACACATAACCTTTAAGATCAAATGTCACCTTCTCTGGAGAAAAGGTAGTTGCTTTGTCCTAGAGAGGGGATGGGGTCTAAGTCGTGACTTTTTTTTAAGAAGCCCCATTTATTTCTATTTAAATAATACTCAAGGAGCTTTCAGAAGGTTAAAAGGCTCAAAGATATCAGGTTTAATATAATATCATAGCCAGGTGCTTGCTGTTGCTGCCGCTGTTTCAAAATTCGCAGGATGACCCTGGACAGTTCAATGCCTCACTAATTCTTCTAGTTCGAGTGGAACTCCTTTGAATTTTGGCATGATTCATATAAGGTTATCCCTCCAGTAATGACGACAAAAAAACAATGCCAGAAGCAATCATAGTCATTGAGAGGAAGAAAGGTAAATGATCAGAGAAGAAAGCCACTGCAGCCATTTTGAGAAGCAAAATTGTTAATCCAGTATAGAACAAACAGAATCGTTTGCAGAATCTATGTGAGAACCCTTTTTCTGTTATTTTTTGAGACCGAGTCCTCTGACTATGAGCTGAGTAGTTGGGATCATGACGGATCTTATAATAAAATGTTATTTTTCTCAAGCTTTTGCAGTACCTGAAAACTGGTAGATGTTTGATAAATGTGTTTCCGGTAAATGTGGGAGTTGCTGATTCACCTGTGTGAGTAGGCCCTTTTGCCTATTGATCCAAGGTCAATTGCTCTTCTGACTTTATTGGGCTTTCCTAAAGTAAAATCACAATAAAATTAAAATTTCTCTCAGTCGCAACAATAATAGTTATAGCAATACCAGCTAATACTAATTGAGCACTTACTATGTGCCAAATATTATGAAGTCTTAACATGAATAATTTTGTTTAACTTCATTATTCCCACTTTACAGATAAAGAGCTTGAAGCTTAAGACACCAAATAACTTGCCAAGATAATAAATGAGGAAGCCAGGATTTAATCAGAGTCCATATACTGCATTAATATATACTGTTATCAACTAATCAACACCACTAGACTCATGGTTATTGACTCATTACTGGTGATGCTGATCTCCCCTGAGAAGCTCTTCCCCTCCAGGAGTGCAACATCAAACTCTACTGCTGACTGAGAGGAGCACAGGTCCTTTGGACTTATGGAAGGAGCATATCGACCATTTCAGTACTGTAACCTCCCACTGGAAATTTCCATGACAACGCAGTTGGAGGCTTTCTTGCTGAGCCCTGGCATGGTGATAAGTGCAAGTTCTTTTATTCCTATGGAACCTGAAAAAAACAAACAAACCTTCAACGGCAACATCTGCTAGTAACTGCTTCCTGTGATGTTCCTGCGATGGAGCTGGTTCCACATAAGTCTTGAAGATACACCCTTGTAATGTATTTATAAATTGTTGGCTAAAGGTCTAAGCTCCAATCTAATAGTACCTCCTCAATAAAGCCTTTCCTGGCACCCTGTCCACTCTGTTATTTTTTCCACACCTTAATTCCTCAGTATTCTGACAGTACATTTCTCACTCAGGACTTCAGAGGAAATTTGCTATAAAACGTGGCAAGCATTCAGTAAATAATTGCATCAAAATGGCAATTCATGTCATTTTTAGGTCCAAGGAGAAAAGATCCATTTTTCTAGAAAAGGTCTCAGAGTTAAGAATACATCTGGCTCCTGATTTAATTTCTCCCAGTAGAGGGAACGAGGATGGCCTGGCAAAGCCACAGGAAAGAACATGTGTGTGTGTGTTCTGCTTCTGGTTTTTCCCAGAGGCAGTTACTGAAGGTTTAAGGCATGAGTCCCGTGCCTATTTTTCCTCACTGGTATCCCCGTTCAAAAAGGCAGTGGGAAGGCTGAGTGGGACAGCTCACACATACACACCCTGTGCATCTGTGTGCATTTCATTTAGAGACAGACCTCATTTTAGAGCAACCTTATTTAACATGTCATTCTAATGTATTGGAAAAGATGAGAAAATAGATGTGAGTTCCATCTGGATTCGTGAGCATAGCATCAGAAAGATTCGCAGTGCCATTGCAAACTGCTAGCAACACATTAAATACCTACCGAAGGTGCTGCATCTTAAGTGAGAAGCCAAAGGTATCTTGTTAAAGCCCCGTGGGCCTTGGAACTGCAGTCTGCTGGTGGAGAGTAGGCGACTGGGCAGTGATTGAAGTGTCCAGCAGGGGGCTGGCATTCTCTGTCTATAAGTAGCCCTGGTTCCTCTTCAGAGCCTCAGCTCAGCAGAGCTGCTGTTTGCTAGTGAAGCCAGTGACGTGCAAGGCATCCTGCCTATAGGATGTGAGGCTTTCTCAGTGCCGTTTTTTTCTACCCACTTTAAACCTTCAGGGTCTAAGTATCAGGAAAGACAGGAAATGCCGTGTGAAAATAGCAGACCAAAAGTTCTTAGTTAACTGCAGCGAGGGAGACTCAGATTGGAATGGAGGTAGAAAGAGTTGATACAGACTGGGTTTAATTCTGAGCCCTTTTTGGACTGAATTTAGAACTGCATTGCATTGTTCATGTGAAGATGAGAGCGGTACCAGCATCAAAGTAGTGACAGAGTTTTGATGCCATAGTCTATATGTATTCAGAGTATTTTTATTAAAGAAAATAAAGAGCCTAGCAGAGATTTCGTCCTCATCTGCACCCAACTGCAAAATCAAAAGTTAAGGAACAGCATCTGAGGACACTTTGTAGGTGGGAGAGAATCTAGAGGATGGCTCTCAATGATTGCTGGCTTCAGAGCATGTCCTGCAACATCTCTAATCACAGTATGGATCTCCCCATGAATGAGGACTGGTTCCACCCAGGGATCCTCTATGTCATCCCTGCAATTTATGGGGTCATCATTCTGATAGGCCTCATTGGCAACATCACCCTGATCAAGATCTTTTGTACCGTGAAGTCCATGCGAAACGTGCCAAACCTCTTCATCTCCAGTCTGGCTTTGGGAGATCTGCTCCTCCTGGTAACCTGTGCTCCCGTGGATGCCAGCCGGTACCTGGCTGACAGATGGCTGTTTGGCAGGATTGGCTGCAAACTGATCCCCTTTATACAGCTCACCTCGGTGGGGGTGTCTGTCTTCACACTCACGGCTCTCTCCGCAGACAGGTAAGTACAGAGGACGGTTACATTCTCTCTGAGGGTGGTGGATGCCTCAGTAAATGAGCTACGACGTTGGGACAGATAGAGCTGTTTGCAGAAAAGGAAGTTTTACTCAAACTCAGATTCCCTTCCGGGCTTGTTTTTTTGTTCTGGGGATTACTTCTGGAGTTTTACCTGTTGGTTTAAGAAAGAAAAGGGAATGGATGGCAAAAAGGGGAGGGGGGGGCAAGAAAGAAAAATAATTAGCATAAGATGGAGGTGCATTTTCTGGACACAAATCAATTTAGCATGGCTTTTCCCTAACTACTCCCCCCTACAAAATTAATTGACTACTAATAAAAAAGATCACAACTAATAGGGTTTAAACCCCAGGCAAATGTTTCTTAGAAGCATTTTAAAATCTTTAGAAAAGCCCCACTGCATTTCTAATGCAAAATATTCTTTCAGAAATGACCAACAGGAGAAAATAAGTGGCATTTCCTTGAAATTCATTTTCCTCAGTTGAACTTTTCTCACAGCTGATTTTGTGTTTGGCTCTCTGTAAATGAACAGCTTGTGTGCTGTTTTTTTCTAACAATCTCTTAAGTGAAATGAAGCATTATTGGATTTTTTTCTTGAGAAAGCTCCATTCAAGTCAGATTTGGGGGAATTTTAATATCTTTGATGATGTACTTCCATATACATTGCCTTTAGAGTGTTTGGGGCGGGGAGTCAGTACAATGTTTTATTCTGGGAAATATACATATTTGTGAACTGCATTGCTTGTGTGAACCTACTGCTTAACAATTTCTATTTATTCATTCTTAAAAGTTCATACTCACTCTTTGAATACCTGCTTGAATTAAGCAGTCAGGAAATACCTGCAGGATGCTCACATAAATTGCTGAATGTATCTTATGTATTTCTGAGCTCTAGAAACTGGACACACTAATGAATAGACTCCAGACACATCATAGACCAGATGGTCAAATTAAGAAAAATTGGTAGAGTGAACCAAAGACTAGAACTTTCTATTTTAAAATCAACTGTATGTTATAGTGTTAAAGATACCTAAGGATTTGAAAGCGTACCAGGAAAGGCATAGAAACAGCTCTTGCAAATCTATGCTCTAAAGAAAATGTCCCACATTTTAATACATGTGGTGCTGGATTCTCATTTCGCAGAGGAACAAATAGTCCTCAGGTGATCTGGCTTTGAGTAATGGACAAATAAGATAATGTTATCAGTATTTGTAGACATGAGTTTATACTTAGCTGCCTGAAGTACACTGCTCAGCACACACGGCATTTTCAAAGATTGAAAACTAACAGCCCAGAAATGAGGTTTGCACATCGCACCGGCTGGACAGGGTCTCTCCATTCCCGCTCCTCACCTCCAGCCTTCTGTGACCCTGAATATTTGCCCACAAGGTACTAATGACCACAGGTAGTTTCAAGTATTGATTCAGGGCAGGCAAACTTTGGAGCAGGCAGAAGGTCTGGGGCTCGTTACCAATGGCTGAGGACACCTCAAGATGAGGGGAATTTTCTTGATGGGAAGATGAGATTTTTGTTTCTGAGTTGTGAGTGCAGTGGCACAGATGATGTTTACTGTCTTCTTGGGGTGGGGCTTGGGGGGTCGGGAAGAAAGTGAGGGCATGGGATGTAAAGATGTAGCTGCACAGAATCCCTCCCCAGAGTTTCAAAGCAGACCAAATTCACCATCAGCAAAAGAGTGCTTTCAAAGCTGGGTCGCACACTTTGTCAGCTCTATTGTGTTTTCAGTGAGTCTATAGTTAGTTACTGTGCGTCCTTCCCAAATCCAGAAATTACTATGAGCATTCATATAACTAACTTTTTGTGTTTTGCTAAGGCTTAAAAAGGTTGATGGATCATCTGAATCACAGGTAGTGCATCTAACCTAATTCAACAAGAATAGGGATTGAGCTACTTAAATAATATAAGAGAGTACTTATCTATTGATTTCATTTTTGTTGTTGTTAATGCTCACCAAGGATATTTTTCCATTGATTTTTGGAGAGAGTGAAAGGGAGGGAGAGAGACAAAGAAACATTGATGTAAGAGACACACATCGATTGGTTGCCTCCTGAACACAACCTGACCAGGGTTGGAATTGAGCTTGCAACTGAGGTCCCCTTGACCTAAATCGAACCCGGGACCCTTTGGTCTGAGGGCCAATGTTCTATCGATTGAGCCAAACCCGCTAGGGCTATTGATTTCATTTTTAAAAGATGTTGGAGCTTTATAACAACCTCATGAGGTTAGTAGGGTAAATATATATATCCACACATACACAATATCTATTTTTTCTCAATAAGGTATAATTTACATACAGTAAATTGAACAAGTGTACAGTTCGATATATTTTTACACATATCTACTAATATATAACAACATAACCACCACCCAGATGAAGATATGGAACAGTCCCAGCACCCTAGGAGTTTCTTTTATGTTCCTTTCCAGGTAATACCCATCCCTATAAAGAGACAATCACTATTCTGAGTTTAATTATCATAGATTATTTTTGCCAGTTCTTTAATCTGATGTAAATGGAATCATACTTCTTATGCTTATCATTGTGTTTGTGATAGTCATCAATCTTGGTGCACATAGCAGTGTTTTATTCTTTTTAATCATTGTGTAGTATTCCATTGTATGAATATATCTCAATTTATTTATCCGTTCTAATGTTGATGGACATTGGGCTGTTTCCAGTTTGGGGTTGATGATAACCTGCTCTGGATATTCTTATTCATGCCTTTTGAGGTACATCAGTGTTTATTTCTCTTGAGTATATGCCTGGGAGTGAAATAGCTAGATCATAAGAGTCATATACTTAGTAAGTATTGTCAAGGAGTTTTCTAAAGTGGTAGTCTGTAGTGGATAGATTGGTAAAATGGGTGAACCAGAAGACCCTCCAAACCTTATGATCATCACAGTCATTGGGGAGCTTAAAAATGTACAGGTTCTTATCCTCCATCCTAAATCTACTGAATCAGACCTTCTGAGTTGTGAACAGACACAGCAATAATCATCCATCCCTGCTTCCTGTAGGTTGACCAGCAATGTCATTACTTTTATCCCAACCTCCCTTCTGCAGTCCTCTAGATGAACTTGAGTCTTTGTTAATATGAAAAGAGTAACACTTTTTCTAGAAAAGTTTACACTGCTGCCACTGTGTCAAAGAGAGACTTCAAAGAAGTCCCAGAAACCAGAATTCTGGCTTTTGTATGGCCAACCAATTGCAGATTTGCACTCAGACTCCTTCATATTAGTTCCTGCCTTCTCTCGCCTTCCACACTTTCCTTCCTTTACATACACACTGATGTCCTCATACACGGTGGTTATACTGAATTCTTGGCTCTGCTTCCTAGCTTATGCTGTGTGTCACCCACTCTCCAGAATGTGTTCTCCTTTCCTAAATAGAAGACTCCACTCCCCATCCCATGTAAATTATGGCTTGGAATGGGCATTGATAGCCCTGCACTTTAGGCCTTTTTCTGCCACTATTTCCTGTAAGAGGGAGTCAGACCAAGTCATTTAACTCTCTGACCTTAGTTGAATTATCCATAAAATAGTAGAGTTGAGCTAGATTACTTCAAAGATCCCTCCAAGTTTTAAAATCTTATGAGGTTTTTTAATCTTTCATTTTGCCTATCATTTGGAATCTGGCAAAAGCCTCCTCCTTAAAGCCCTAAATTGGACAATTCTAGCCCAGATTTCCTAACCCTCTTCTAAATGTGAGACTTATTATCTGAGACATAAATTATCTTGTGACATCTTTCATCTTGCTGTTTTGAAATATTTCACTAATTTGTCTTTTTTTAGCCTCTTATATATTCATTGCTTTAATTTTTCAAGTAGATTAAGAATGTTGAGGACAGGGATTTCTTATATATCTTGTATATATCTTGTACAGTTTCTTGTACTAAATGGATGGTCAATAAATATTTGTCAATTAAAGTTATGGTTCATTAATGCATACTCTTTCTTCTCATTCTTATTATTCTTCTCCATTTTTAGGAATTTATCTGAAAGCATACTCTTAAATATGCATCATGCTGTCACCTGCTTCTTATTTGTTCCTCTCTATTAAGCTCTCATTATTTAGGTAAATGAGAGAAAAGCTATTCTTTGTGAGTCAGTGAATAGATTCTTGGGATAAATAGATAATTGGATAGATGGAATGATAAGTAGATGGGTGAGAAGATGGATGGATGGATGAGTGGATGAGTGGATAAGTGGATGGGCAGGTGGTGGACAGATGGTTGGATAGATAGGTGAATGGTTGGATGGGTGGATATATTTTTTACATAACGATCTTTCCTACTAGATACCCATCTCTGTACTAGGTGCCTTAGTATTGTGTAATGGAATTTGATCTGAATTTTTTTAGGAAAAGGGTAAGTAGAGTTTGTGTTTTCTTTTCCAATAAGTGTAAAGGTTAAAGCTGGACATAAGGTTGGCAGCATATAATGCCCAAGTTACGTTGTGCCTGCTTCAGTATTATTATGCAGTGTTATTTCTGCTAGAATGGAGCTGGCAGAATGAATCCTAAGGACATACAGATGTAGCAGTTCCATTGGGATGTGGTCCTCATTCAATCCCATGGAAGACTGTTCATAAGCTCCCCCTTTGCTGTGATTTGGAATGTGTAAAGGAATAGGAAAATGTTACATTTATACAGACATCTTGAAGTACAGATTCTTTGAATTTATTGCCAGGGATTTATGAGGTAATGTAGTTTTCCGCCTTTCCTGACACCTAGAACTGGGTGGTACAACATGCTAGCCACTAACTACATGTGGTTATTTTTTTTAAAATATGTTTTTATTGATTTCAGAGGAATGGAGAGGGAGAAAGAGAGAGAAACATCAATGATGAGAGAGAATCGTTGACCAGCTGCCTCCTGCACGCCCCCTATTGGGGATTGAGCCTGAAACCCAAAATCAAACCTGGGATCCTTCAATCCACAGGCCGATGCTCTATTCACTGAGCTAAACC